TAGACCTAAACAAATTGGTTGAATTCTGTTACAGGGGWGCTAATGCGTTTTTAATGTTATTCTGAAAACCAATTAAAACAAAAAAAGGAGTTTTTCTGATGTTGCCTGATTTGAATTATTACAGAAACATCTAAGGTATACATGTAGGTTAGTTTTCAGTACAAAAAGAGCCTACAGGACAGAGACTACAATTCTTCAAGTTCTTGGGCATCTATTTACCTTTGAGATTTTGACTGTCCCATTGGAAGATGGGACCCTCACTAGCTTAATGTTAAACATGTATGTGAGAGTTTGTCAGGCTGAAGTCTGCAACTCTCTTGTCATCTACGATTTACTCTGTTTGCTGTGTTTGTGGAAATCCACATTTGGCATTCTTGGAGATATCTGAGCCAAGTTCAAACCTCAGTGTTTGAATATAGGGTGATGGTAGACRTGTGTCTTGTCAGTTACACAGTTTTGTTATTTTTTAAATGTATTTGATTACACACTGGGCTTATGTAATGAAAACAAAACTTTCATTAGTCTGGTTTGAGAGGGAYTGCAGTTGAAGATGGGAAAGAGGAAAGGATCATGGGGAAGGAGGCAAGGAAGGCKGAAGGAAGATGAATAACCAATGATGTTACAGCCAGTGAGGGCAAAAAGTCTGGAAACAGCTTTTCAGAGATCATTTAAGTGTTGGGTCCCTCCAGCTCCTTTAGAGAAATGGACTGGTGATGCTCATGCGTTCCTGAGTCTGGGCTGTAGTTACCCTTCTGTGCATGAAGCACCTTGAGAAGAGGTTTTTTGAGCCAGAGAATCCTAAGGTTGTACCTTTTGAAGGCTCCTTCTCTCTCATTCTTGCAACTTTACTGTGGTTGGAAGAGGATACCTGGCGCCTGCTGTTGATGGGCTCCTCTGCTTCTCAGGGAGAGGGAATAAAGGGCCCAGAAAGATAAAATAGAATGAAAAATGAACTTCAGGATTGCATTTGAAATTAAATTAAAATTACTTCATTTTCATRCTAAGTTTTTATAGTTTTGATGGCTCTATGGGACCTGATCAATGGACAACCCGGGGTGAACAAAGCCTGTGCATATTTATCTTTGCTAAAGATGTATTTCACAAGTCAGAACTGAAACACTGAGCAATTACAATGCCTGGATCTCAGCCAGACAGTCTTGGACAGAGTGGCTGACCAGTCACATCTGTTCTSTGCCTTCTCCACAGGACCTCTTCTCAGGTTAGGAGAAGTAATGAACTTAAACCAAAATGGATTATTTATAGTGATGTGCAGAGCATGAAAGGAAAGTCGGCTGAAGTTTTCCTGAGCCTGGAAAGACAGAGAAACTAAACTGTAGCTAAAATATCTCTCTCTGAAGATGAAGGTCAAGATTCTCAATTGATGTACATCTTTGCAACTTGGCATCAGTGAAGCTATGTTGATTTACACCAGCTGAAAAATCTGGAAGGGAACAATGCACTTTTTGTTTAATTTTTATGTGATCGTCAGACAATCCGTCACATTCAGTTGGAGAGGAATAACATTTGGTAGATGTTTAGTCTTGATTTTTTTTTTCCTGAAATGGGAAGTGAATTAAATGAAGTGAAGACAGAAAAAGGCATTTTTATTATTTGAGCTAGCTGAACAGTCTGAAAAATATTAAATTAAAAAAAAAATTGTCAAATAAAGTATTTGACATCACAGCAAAATACAGTTAAACGCATTATATCTTATAAGAATTGTTAATAGGAATTTAGAGAAGTCAGTTGTGCTGGACATGACTAGATTTACAAAGAGTTGGCTGTATGAAACTGTCTGGCTAATCCATCTCTTCCACAGTATGTGTTACATAGCCCCTGCCTGTTGCACCTCTGTCATCCACCAGCCTCTCTCTGTGTTGAACGTCACCAGGGGACCCAAGGTACAAGGATTATCAGTCCTGGTTTAGGGAACAGAATGAAATTTGGGCTGGTGTCTGCCTCTACCTGCTGAGCTGGTTTTGCTGCAGTGGTGGGAATCGTGTGCCTGTGTTGCTGCACACCCTTTCAAAACCCTTTACAAATGGCTCTCCCTGTAGAGAGGGTGGTGCAGTGGTGCCTTACTCGGAGACAGAGGCTCTGTGCCAAAGCAGCAGAAATGATTTACAGACTGAGCTGCCTGCTCACCCAAAGGAACAAGTGACTGTACTGGGCTGCTTTCTGTTTCTGGCTAAGCCTGTTGTCAGAGTTGGTGGCGATGAACAGGCAATGACAAACTGCTCTCTGTCTCCTGTGCAGGCAATGCTAGGCTGCAAACAGCTCTGAAGACCTGGCAGACTTTTTGTCCACCACTGGATATGCATCAGTTTTGGCAAAAAGCAGGAAATGACTGGTGCAGCAAATGTTTTGGAGCAGGTCATCTTCCTGTTTCATTGAGTTGAAACTCTGAGACTTCCCATTTGGGACTGGTTCTGCTGCTGGGGAATACATATATTAAATTACTACCATTCCAACCTGACAGGTTTTTAGGTTACAGTCCAACTTGTATTACCTTTAAAAACAGTTTTTTAAGTGTGCTGCAGTTTAATATGGGAAAAATATTCCTGATACATTATTCTCAAGGTTACCAGTCAAGCTGTGCAAACCACCCTTGCAGTCATTGTCAAATAGTAGTGTTGGAAATGTACTTCCTCTTTCAGAGGCAATTTTGCCATTTATAATTATGATAATGTGGATCCCAAATCTGGAAAGAATACAAGTATGTGATGTTTTCAGTAAGGTGTGTGTTAAAAATCCCTAAACCTGATCTAGGATAGTCTCATTGACCTTGGAAACACTGAAAAACCAGGTTTACCTCCCAGGCAGCATGTATAATAAAATAACTGGGGAGTTCAGCAGCAGCCCACCTTACTGCTCAGCAAGGCAGGTGGGGCAGGGTCATGGTGAACCAGCCACCAACCAGACTCAGCATCAGGGGATGATTTGAAACTAATTTGGCCTCTGTGAACACCAGAGTAACCCAGTGTGAATTGCAGTGGGAGAGGAAACACCACTGGGCACAAATCCCTTATCTTCCAGTGCAGGGAACTGATGGTAGAAAAAAAAGAGGAGATTTTCTGGAAAATTGGTGTGTGAAGAAAATGGACAAGAAATGTTCTTCTCTGGCTTCTGATGATGAGTGAGCAAGATTTGAGTGTGCATGTTATCTGACATACAAACTGCATTTGGAACGTGTGTTTTCTTGTGCAAGTGTGGAAGGCAATTTAGTGTTATGCCCTCTACCAAGAGAGGCAGTTCTGCTGAGTTGAAAGTGGAGAATWTCTTCTTGTAATACAGCAGCTCAAGTGAGTGACTCTTATGTGGGTTGTGCTGGTACACAGTAGTACACCAAATGCTTCTCACATGGCTTCAGAGGTGTTCAGTTTGATTCAGTGGCTGCCCAGCAAGTTTCGTGCCAGAGACCTATATAAGAATATCCTGCTCTTGGACACATAGTTCCTGAAAACATAAATCCCCATGTGTGGTTACTGCACAACCAGCATCTGACTCATTGCTTCGCAAAGCACTTTTAGTTGCTTGGGGAACTGATGATGTGCACCACACAAACCCAGTAACTGCGGCGCTCCTGTAGCGCTCCACGATCTTGGAGCTGTCAAGGAAACTTTGTTCTCTGTTACCCATACCACAGCCACTAGAAACTTYGCRTGGTGACCCAAACAGAATCCYGTGTCTCCAGCCACTCTGAATCCAYCCCCTTGGTGTTCCAGCTGATGGGGGGCTCTCAAGGGGTGTTAGTAGTGTAGTCTACATCTATTGCACAGTTTGCTTTCCATACAGCAGGGGGTAGTAAAATACTCAGAGTCTACATGTGCAAGAAAAGAGCATCAAATAGTAGAGCAACTGAATGGAAAGCAAACAAAATGTCTATTTTTAAACTGAGCTAAATCCATGTAATTTTCAATAGGGAACTTTTTGAGTCCTTGTAAAACAAGTTCCTTAAGGGTTTGAATGATGCTATTTAAATGTGTAATGACTTGGCCTGTTAAAAAAGCCAACATATTGATTGCTGCACTTTGAGGATGAAAGTATTAAACATTTTAATCGTGCTGTGCATGTTTAGGATRCAAACAAAAGTCCTCATTGTGAACCTGCCAATTAAAGTAGCTGCCAATAGGGAAAGGAGACATGCCTGTGGCTTTCTTTGGGTTAGCTGAGGTCATGGCTACAACTAATGCAAAGGTTCTTAAAGAAGTTTGGCATCGGAACGCATGAAAATCCCAAGCAATACTCCAATCTTTCTATTAAAAAATTTGAAGCTGTTTTGGACTGACAACAATGTTTACAGAACAAGATACAGGCTTATTTTTTCCCCCTTTATATTTTAAAGAAATATATAACRCTTTGAGAATGTAAAGGACAGTCTGAGATGTTAGTGCTAAAAACCCGTTACAGGACTGCTCCTGAGCTTCAGGGTAGTGTACATGATCCTGATCTAGTCCTACAGGCAGCTCATAAACATCGAGGAAACCTAGAAGAAGCTGAGGGGAATATTCATGTGCTTCCACTCAAGGAATGGTTTAGAACTTCACTGTTTCTCTACTTAGAGTTTAGAAGCAACAATTTAATTTCTATTAAGTCATTGCCTGCATATTTCTATAGCACCATTTAGCAGCGCACAGAGTAACATCACATTTCTTTTCCAAACAGTGCAAAAAAAAATCAAACTTCTAATTTCCTTAAGGATTTCATAGAAATGCATAACCTGTGAAATTGGTTCCTAGCCATGTTCTTACACCAGCTTAGCCTGATAAGATCTAAATCCTAGCACGCTTATTCCAATGTATGCTAAGAGCAATCCAAATGACTAACACGCGAGGTACACTGGTGTAGAGAGCTGTGAGGAGCTGAGTCTGGCTCAGTGTTCCCTATTGCAAGAGGAAAGCTGCACTAAAATCCATGTATGACATAGCAGATATTTATTCTACATTTCTGCAAAGGTTTTAAAATTTACATCTAAATTTTTGTCTGTATTTTTGTCTCAGCTGATGTAGCTTCGTAGGAGCATTCTGAAGAAGATGTTGAAGTCCTTTGGTAAGTGTATACTGAATTTGTGTTATATAATGATTTGGATTTTATTGGTAACTATTACTAAAGATTCTGAAGTAAGTTAAAAAAACAACCTGTAAGCCAAATCTACTTTATTTTCAAGAATCTCCAGCTATCACTCACATATCCTTGCCAAATGTGTCATTTCTCTTAGCAACAGTTTAGATGACTTTAACAAGTATTTTTAACCTATAAAAGAAAGTCATGGAGCTCACTTCTGAAATTTGAAGTTCTGTGCAGATACCTAAGGGCTGGATTTAGTGATAAATTGCTTCCCCTCCTGACAAGACCATGGAAGCTTTTCTTGCAGGGAATGCTTAGTAATTCAGTGAAAGCAGTTTGGATGGGKTTTTTTTTGTCTTTCCAGTTGAATCTGGCTTTACTTTTTTCTAGTATTATGAATTACKTTCTGTGTAATAAAACACACACACCTCTTGAGAAAAATATTAAGTCTACAGAGAAAGAGGCTGATTCAAAGATAACATTAGTTGTAGATGTATTTCTCTGTAATTTATCCACACTTTAAATTATCACCTAGATTATCTTGGAGCAATGGCATCTTGGTAGCCATGACTTTAACATAAAATGTCCAAAATTTCACTTACAGCTTTGCCTGCCGACAATTTGTAGGGCAGTCTTTAATGTTCTTTTAGATCCCTTTAAAAACAGATATTTCTGGAATGACAGATGCTAGCAGTGGAGATAGCTTGTGTTAGCCAGTCAAAGTAAAAAATTGTCCAGTCTCTGCAGCCACCTTGTCAGAGGTTTCTGTCATCCCTGTAGGTTGTATAATGCAGAGTGATGTGGCAACAGCTGAATCTGCTTGTACGTGTGCCAGAACCACAAAAATGTTGCTGAATATAATGTACCTTTTTTCCATCTAATGAGCAAAAGCACAGATGATACACAGGGGTTCTCACATCCCACTCTATCTCTCATTCCCATCTTTGGATTGCCTACCAAGTGCTCCAAGTGCAAACTAACCTCTGAATTTGATATACCAGATGCTGCTATCTCACTTAAACTCTTTATATTAATACTTAGCAAAACAAGTTAAATAATCTCTTTACTGTTAACATTTATTTAATCAGGGTGGGTCAAGATGAATCCCAGTGTTAGTGTCCTCTTCCAAGCCTTCTACAGCATCGTGTCCTCTTCAAGACTCTCTTTTAGTGCTGAGCTTCTTGGCGAAAGCATTATCTTTATTTATTGCTTGTTTAGTGCTAAACACTATTTCACTGTTTTAAGGTTAGTTGCAAAATTCAATGTACTTATAATAAGAACTTTATTGCCAGCCTATTAGTATTGTTATTAATTTAATAGCAGTAATTTAATTACTGCAAACCCAGTGCCTTAATATTGTTCTGCAACTGCTTTTTGATCTTTTGAAGGAGTTTCTTTTAATAGCTACTATGATTTAATTCACCAATTCTTGACTTTTTTTCTGGATTAAAAATTTTCAACCAATAGGTTTTAATTAAAAAAAATCATGTAATGAGATMCTTGCATGGCTACCAAGAATGAAAGAGGGAGACAGTAATGTTCAGTTGTTYTGGAGGGCTATTATGTATAGATGACCTATAGGTTAGATTTGAAATTTAGGAGAAAAGTAAAAAGAGAAAAGGCTTGAGAACCTGTTTTTATGTCAGATCCACATGACTGGCAGGAATAAGAATGTTGATATCACTGGGGATGAATATCTTTAATTTTTCTGTGGGAACTGGGGAAAGATAAGGTATCAGGAAGGAAGGCTGTAGGAAGTCTGATTTTTGCTGGATTTAYAAGAGTTCAGAAGGCAGCTAGTGTAGTCATAAGAAATTACTTTATTTTCAGTATTCCTGGACACATCTTCCATTTAAGGAAGACTTGGGATRAGGCTGGGGAACTGGAAAAAAACATGTCAGGGAGAGTAGTATGGTGTAGGCAGGAGCATATGCTTCATATTAGGTATTCCAGTACAGATTCTTCCTCTCTCTACAGTACATGTTAATTTTAGGTCTAAGGCTGGAATCAGGTTTTCAGAAAAAAGGTAGAAAGCCTTTTTATTCTTGCGTTTTGCAAGACTGGCAGAGATAGGACTAAAGTTTGCATAATTGGGAAAAAATGCCTTATAATTAGATTTACTATACAAATTGGTCACTTTGAATYGAAGAAAAATAAATTAGGCTTAGGTTTTAGGTGTCATTATGACCGAAAAGAAGGAATCTTCATCTGCCAATCTCACTGTTGGATTGTGTAGTACCAACAAAGACTAGAAAGAGTGTTGTTTTCTAATGAATGCCTATGAGTTTTCCTTAATTAAATGTTTGCTCAGTTTGATTTCAGATTTTTGGCTTAAAAGCAGGAGTTAAGAAATAATTGCCCCTTGAGCCTTTGTTGTCACTGGGAATGGCTTCAGAGGTAGGAAGCAGGTTAGCATCACTGTTATTCTGATATCTTATGGAATTCCTTGTTCACCTGAATGGGAAGGGTGGATATTTGGAGAGATTATTGGTGACTATACACTTCTGTCTTCAATGCATTTTAGCTGCAAGAATTAGTTCATTTCCCATATAATAAGTAGGGTTATGGTTGGGGTTTATCTCATGTCTGGGAAGGAAAAGGTCTGATCTGAAGTTTAGGATGACAAATGATATCAACAACTGATATTTTATGTTTAGAGATTCTTGCAGGGATTAGTTCTACAGTTGTTTTCAGGTTAGATTAGAATTAATTTAAGTTTTCAGCGTAGAAAATAAGTCTTAAAGAAGTCAAAGTCCTGCTGATGCTCAAGAATACCTGTTTCTCCAAATGTCATTTATTTGTGTTAGGTTTCACTCTATCTGTTGGTTACCCGGCTGTAATCATATCTTGTGATTGTGGGAGGGCTTGGGAACTCAAAAGCACATTGTTTCCAAGAAGTTGTTAGACTCCATAGCTCTGTAGAAATGCTCACTGAAGAAATGGACAGTAATGAACAGCAATATATGATATTCACCAAAGGATTCTAGAAAAACTTCAGAGYTGTATTACTGTAAATAATTGTTTTGAAGAACCAGTGAACAGGAATTAATATTGTATGTTGGCAGAGTGCCAATATGGATTTTTAGGGGTGTGTCATGCCTCAAATGTAGTAGCATTCTTCAGAGAAATCAATAAGCTTGTGGATAAAGGAATTATGGTTGTTTTAACCTTTTTGGTTATATCTTTTAAAGAATCTAAGAAATCAGAAGATAAAAGAAAAAGACAGAAGTCAGCAATAAATTGTCATTTTTCACAGAGGGAGGAGGTTACCAGTGAAGTATCCATGGGATTTGTCCTGGGGCCTGCAACATTCCCAGTATTAATAAATTGTCAAGAAATGAGAAGGAAAAATTTTTGAGGTATCTTAGTTTGCTGACAATACTAAGTTATTTTGAACAGAATGATAAAATCATAGAATAGTTTTGGTTGAAAGTGACCATTAAAGATCATCCAGTCCAAACCCCCTGCAGTGAGGAGRGACATCTTCAACCAGACCAGATTGGTCAGAGACACATCCAACCTGACCTATAATGGGAAAGCTGTTCCAGTGTTTCACCACCCTCACTGTACAAGATTTCTTCCTTGTATCTACTGTAATTCCACCCTCCAAGTTTAAAACYGATACCACTGGTCCTAAGTCAATAAGCCGTACTAAAATGTCTGTCTCCATCTTATACATCCTCTTCTACTGAAAGACTGCAATAAGTCTCCCCAGAGCCTTTTCTTCTACAGGCTGGACAACCCCAATTCTCTCTGGATGTGGTGTTCCAGGTGGGATCTCACCAGAGTGGGACAGAGGGGCAGAATCCTCTCCCTGCCCTGYTGCCCACATTGATTTGGATGCAGCCCAGGGCACGGATGGTTTCTGTGCTGCCACTGCACATTGCTGGGTCATGTCCAGCCTCTCATCCAGCAGCATCCCCAAGTCCTTCTGGGCAGGGCCGCTCTCCATCTGCTTATCCTCAGCCTGGATTGATACCGGGATTGCTCTAACCCAGGTGCAGCACCAGCACTTGGCCTTTTTGAGGTTTGTGGACTTGGCCCAGGCCCCCTTTTCAAGCTTGTCCATGTTCCTCTGGATGRCATTCCATCCCTCAGGCATGCCAACTGCACCACACAGCTTGGTGTTGTCAGCAAATTTTCTTAGAGTGAACTTGGTCCCGCTGTCTCTGTCTTTGTTGAGTTATTAAACAGAACTTTTCCCAGTACAGACCCCTGAGGGACATTYCTTGTCACTGGTCTCCATTTGGACACTGAACATCCATCACATCACTGAGCTGTCGACCACTCCCTTCTGGATGTGACCACCTGACCAATTCTTCATCTACCAAACAGTTCCTCCATTGAATCCATTCCTCTCCAATTTAGGGATAAGGATGTTTTGCAGGRCCATGTCAAAGGCTTTAYAGATGACATCTGTAGCCCTTCCTGTGACCACCCTTGTGGTCGTGTCATTGTAGAAGGCCACAATAACCTCCCTGTTTTCCCTCATCTGTTCCATGAGCTTTGTAGGCACAGAAGTGAATATGTAACAATTTTACTGTGAAGTATTATAAAAAGGAGTAGGATATGTAAAGTGAWATGGGAAGTGGCAATTTCAAAATAGGGGACAAAAAGGTACTTTTGCCTCACATTGCATTGTTAAGCAGTCAAGATTCTTGCCACAAGATGCTGTGGACAGTAAAAAACTCTCAGAGTGAACAGTCCTTGGATGAAAAGAAGAAACCATTGAGGCTATTAAAGATAGAATTGCTGCATCTGGTTAGGAATTGCTCAGCCACAAATCCCTGAAGGCTGAAAAATATTCTGGGGAATTAATGCGGCATATTACTCTGTTCTCACATTCTTCCCTGGGACCCATTTTTGACACCATCAGGAATGGCTACTGCCTAAATTGGAAGCTTGATCTGATAAAATATAATATGGAAAGGTCTTTATAAATTATTGTTGTATCTGATTATGAACAGGTGTTATTTGAATTTTCCAAATACTGCCATTGTCAGTGCAAAACACTTGCTAACCTTATCATATTTCTATATTATTGAAAAGAGAAGACAATTGCTTTAGGAAGATTAATTTGGTATTCTGCACTCTGAGAACCTTTTCATTTCACTTTATTTGGAATGAAATAAATTTAGTATTTTTTTCCCTTTTGCATAACTGTCCTCTTTTTCAAAGTCAAAAAATGAAAATAGAAAATAAGTTAATTAAAAGCATAATATATGTTACACATCATGAGCTGTCTTGCAACATAAATTGTACAGTTGCCAATCAAGAAAACCCACGTCTACTAAGCACAGACTACTCAGTTTTAAGGAGCTACTCTCAATTATATTTTACTGCCCTTGCTGGGTATACAGTAAATTTGCCGCAGTGCCATCATTCACACTTTAGGACAGGACCCTCACTAGCTCAAATCAGCAATAGTTCTGTTCAGGCATTTAAAATAGTATCAGAGAATCATGAAGGAATATTTTGTCCTTTTAGTTGCATGGAAAACCTAATAGAAATACCACATTGCTCAGAAATAAATCAAAAGGCTGCAAAATGTCAGGTGCAGAGAAACTAATAGATACTCAGGCTGTGAGATCTCCTTTGAAGAAATATGCTGATGATAGGCTTTGATTAGCTTGATTAGTTTCAGATTCTTAATTTGTACTCCTGCCATCGGGTCCTGTGTCTCCATTCTCTCACAGATATTTTCTATAGTCTGGGCGCATGAAGCTTTGTTGAAGTATTTTGCRAACACAGTAGAAAGTGGCAATATTGTTAGACGTGTCCTCGGATGCCCTGTGACTTGCAGCAGCAGCAGCAGGAGTGATGATCTTGTATTTAGTATCAAACAATAGCTCACTATAGAATTTTCTAAACTACAGTTGGCTTCTCACCATGTCCTAGAACCAACCTGACATTTCACAATAGAGGAATCAAATGTCTTTTGGCAGCATCTGATGTCATCATTGCTTAGGGCCTGAGCTCAGAATTTGGCTGTCATGAGTTACTCTATCTACTCAGTTGTGTAAAACAGAAAAAATGTGGGCATCAGCAGTGCTGTGACCTTTATACAGTTTTCAGCAGATTGAAAGAAGGCAGAACTGTTATTACTAATTTTAAACTGCTAATATATGTTGGGCTTTTTCAATCCATGAAGCTAATGGAAGTCTATCACCAGAAGTATACATCACATTACTTTAAAGGAAATCTAATTTACACCTAAAAACTCACAGTGGAATGAGCTTGGACAGAAGGGCTGCATCTCATTTTGCTCTGCCTTCTCATGGGACTTGTATTTGGTGGCTTGAGGGAAGGACAGCCCCTGCCTTCCTTTTGGGATGCATTTGAAGCAGAAACAAAGATCACTTTTGGGTGCAAATATCACATTTGTGGTTCAAAGTTATAGTTTATGCTGAAGACCTGCTGAAATTCTTCAGAAGAGAATATTCTGTATAATATGCAAGTATTACTAATCTGCCAAACCTCTGAGGTTATTGGGGTAAAACTGGGGTTCCTTTAACAGCTTGTGATCTGGCCAATCTGGTCTGTTTGTARTATACATTTATCACTTGTGGAGCTTGACCAGTATCATAAATCAATTGGATGCTACTAAATATTACTAAAGTAATATTTGAACAGCAGTTAAGGTGTGAGTGAATTATGAGATGATTTCATATGGTGGTCATCAGCCACAGATAGTTATGTGAGGAAAATGGACCAGAGCTTCATAGCCTAATCCTTTCMGATATTCTTCTACTTTTAGTAAAGTTATGTTTCTTCTGCTTCCTGTCTTATACAGGTAGTGATTGAAGACAAAATAATTCTATAAGAAAGAGTTATATATATATAAACAATATATTAATAAATAGGAGGTGGTAAAAGATCACCAATTTAAACAAGGCAAAACAAGTTTAAGATTTGAGAGCTATCTTTATTGTGAGTTATGTGGTTCATATTGATATCTGRAAGTCCATTCTTTTGGGTACATGAGTAACATAAAGGCCTTTCTTTTAATGCTATCTTTCTGACTACTTATAGTTGCACAATAAAATTTTAAAATGCGTTGTTTAATGACTGCAGCAGAAAAGGATTTGACATATTAGCAGTTTGAGCACAGTCTGCTAGTTGTGCCAAGCTTTCAGTTTCCAAATCAAACTTTTCGTGTCTTTCTGATGTTCTTTCTTCCAGAAATTGGAGTGGTGTAGTTGGACCATGGAATCTCATCAGTAAAACTGGGTAGATCTGTTCTGCTTTGTTCCCAGTTGAAGCTGGGATTGAGCAAATCTGCAGGCTCCTTCTGTTACAAAGATCACAGTCATTTCTGTGCACCTCATGCTGCATCGTATACACTCAGAACCAGAATTTATCTCTGGCAAGAGYTCTGCTTCCTGAATTATGTTTGGCATGCCTGTTCTCAGTTGCGAAGTATTTATCCATTTCCTGGTGTCAGCTACTGAATCCAACGGGATTATGGTCCCTTTTAAATAAAATCCGACCTTGTCATCTGCTACTGAATTCAAAAATTATTATCACTTGTTTCATGGACTTCTTATCAACGGCTTACTTCGGCTTATCAATCTTGAAATTGTTTCATTACACCTCATCAGCACCTGGTTTTTCTAATTCATGATGTGGCTAAGCTGAAATCCAGGTGGCTCTGCTGTCTAGTTTGATTTGGATCTATTGCTGACTTAATAACATGAGCAAAAATGGCAGCTGAGCGTCTGTCTGCCTTTTTCTGTAATAAATGTACATAAAGAATCTCTGCATCTGCTAACTGACACTGCAGATTGCTTTCCCTTCGGTGGAGGTCTTTCCAAATGGTCTCAGAAGCAGCAAGAACAGTAGCTTGTGGTTGTTTTTCCTGGCGTATCAGCAGTGTATGGAGATACACAGTTTCTGCTTCCTCTGTTTCTGTCACTGCAGTTTATAGGTTGGCCATTAATATTTCTGTCATATTGCAGCCTGGAGCATATGTGTTAGATGGCATCTACAATACATGGCACCTGCATGCTCCATACTGTTTCTTAGTTCTGTGTCAATACATTATCATTATATTCCTTTCACTGATCACTTCAGCTGCTCTTTCAGTGAGTGCCATGTTTCTAACTCTAGGTCTATTGCTCTAAAAATGTAAAATTAATTAGCTTTCATTCTTTCTGAGATTAATTGTGGGTGCCAAGAATGAGAGCTCTGCATGATAAATTTTTTTTCTTCTCAGTATTCAATATAAATACTCATCCAGGTAAAAGCAAAACAAAACACTTCTGTATCTACTGTTCTTTCTGGGCTCCTTGAATATTTTGGTGATCTGTTCCAGTGTTTGGGGGTGTTATTCCTACAGGATTGTCTTTATCATCTTCCCCCGCTATAGCCCCTCAATGTTATACCCATGATTTTTCTCTCCTTCCATTATAAATGCTGCAGGGAACTTAATTCTGGTGTTCAGTTTTACTGCCTGTATRCAGATTTTGTCTGGAAATCCACCATGCCTGGTGGCTGGCATCACTCCATGTTGATGATTTCCTTTGTTTCTCACCCTTGTTTTGTCTCTTTGTAAATTGTGTTTTCTATATTATTGTGGAACTCACAAGATTGACCTCTGCTGTCATCTTTCATATGCCACACGCTGAGTAGTAACATAAGAAAACAACACATTTCTTAAGGCTTTAAATTGAAAGAGCTTCAACAGAACTGAAGCCTTGTGGCAAGCCAGTGTTCCCTGATGGGAAAGACTACATTTAAGGCCTTTGGTGCTATTAATTTTTAAAGGCTGGAAGGAATGAATAAAGTGTGAGTGAGGCCTGATGGCTGACAGGGATGGAGAGRCCTGAGCTAACCGTGCTGCACCTTTGCCCTTCTCACCACCGGTGCCCCTGACTTCTCCCTGGCTTCATTTTGGAGCAGTCTGAACATGAAGTCAGGGAAGCATTTCCAGTGGGAATAGACTTGCCAAAATATGCCTTTAGAGCCTAATGCTGTGCTGGCAGTTGTGTGGTGCTCAGCAGGTGAAGGGGAGATGCAGTCACAAAAATGTTTGCACTGGGAGAAGTGAGCTATTTTRATGGTTTTTCACTCTTTTTGCCCGTTCTGATTAGCGGATATCTGAGGGTAATATTTTTACAAATTGATGATGAAACGTAATCATTGTTGCAATTCTGTCTATAATTATGTACTTCCACTTTCCTGAAAGAAGAAATGAACATGAGAGGCTCATTGCTTTAACAGTCTCSTCAGATAACTGTCTACCCTAAGCCCCTCTTTCTTGCTTCATTTCTTTATCAAAATCATCCTGCATGCTCTCTAGCTGTCTTGGGGCTTTCCTGCTGTCTGCTCTATCTGTGCCTGTATTTTTGCCCTTTCTCATCCTTGGTGAACTCAACTGAACAACATTCATTGCCCTGAATTTGAACTTAGTCCCTGAGGAAAATTGCGGTTGTTGGTTCTTTCACTAGGCCTCTGTTATGGGTGCTGACCTCCAGTGTTTCTTCTCTTCCATGGAAGTGTTGTAACCAGCTTTTTACATTTAGCCTACTACGTTATATTCAATAAAATGTGACTCCTAAATTCAACTCAAATATCGCATAGCATTGCTATTCCTATTTATAAATGGCACTGKTTTTTTTGTATGCTGTCAAACTGCAATTGTCCTTTCCCCCACATCATGTTTTTCATGTTTTGCACAGACTCCATGCTTCAGAATAGCAAATAATTGACTTTTAGGGTCACTCAGGGAAGATATTTTGTTTTTCCAGGTTTCTGGGTGGGGCACTTTAGCCAATCACATTTATTACTTTAAGACCTCTCAGACTTTTGAACTTGACCCTATTTCCTGCCAATAACACCTGGCAAGAGAGCTCGRTAAGTTAAATTGCAGATATATTAAAGATTTATTTTAGGTAAAGCCTGCTTGTAAGATGTCTATGTGCCAAGTTATGTCTGGAGTAAACTTTTATAGCAAACACTAAATCAGAGGCAAGCAGTACAGAAAAAAGTGTAAAGGGGATTAAAATAAAAAGGCTGACAGACCCGTAACTATAATAAAAATGGTTGTGGAGAATTCTATGGCATTAACTTAGATAATTGCCAGAGTCATAAAATCCAGATTTTTCTGTCTTYAAGACTCCTGGGAGCTGCTGGGGAAGAAGAAAATTAAATGTAATGGTTCATATATAATTCAGAATTTTGTTGCTTTTTATCATTCTCAAAAGAGTAAAAGTGACCTACTTTCTATATGTTGTAGTTTAGTGGGAAATTCCCCCGACTCCCAGAGTCAGCATGCTTGTTCTCTTCTTAAGCAGGTGCTAACTCCCATCTCTGCTTTACTACTGCTGGCATAGTATCTGCTAAATGTGTTGTGACATTCTTTCCTTTCAGCATACAGTGGAGATGGTTGTGCTCCTTCCCAAATTCCAGTTTTGTTAAGCTTCTGGGATTAATGCAGGATCTAAATTAATTTTCTGTATGCTAGTTTTCACCCACAGTAGAAGTAATTAAATAACAGGCCCTTCTCTAAGATTTGTGTTTTTAGAATCAAWAAGTCACATGTAATGATGACTTAAAAGTGAAAAAAAGATTATAAAGCTCGAAGACATGTATTAAAAGGCGCCTCTTCTTGTTTATTTGCTACAATGTATATTTGGAATAAAATGGGAAGGAGTTAGAAATGTACTTGGAACTCAAAATATACTCAGTATTATTCCATTGTAGGGCTAGATTTGAACTGGAAATATTTCAATCCAGARGACTTCTTCCAATCCATATTTACAAAATCCAAGGAGAACAGTCTAAAAAATCTGAGTGAGAAAAACTAGGAAATTTGACTTAGGATTATGCATCAAGGCTGTCTCCATTTACAGTACAGAAGTATGCTAGACAGACTGATCAGTTCTGACCCTGTGCTCCAAGAAGAGCCTATGTTTAGTTTTCTGGATCTAATTCTATGTGGAGGAAAAAGAAAGAAGTTTAATGAGTTTATACTTTCCCATCATACTGCTGAAATGATTCACAGTTGAGGAAATTTCTCATTCTCTTCATGGGTAGAGACAGATAGGGGAACATGTTAATCGTCTTTTGCTGAAAAAGGAATTTCATTGACCAACAAGAGATTCTGGGACACATGAAGGACAGTGCCCTAGTTACTTTTCTGAAGAGAATTGGCTACACAATTTGATTCTCAGGTGTACCTACAAGCAGCAAAACAAAATCATATTTTTCACTAAATGATTAGAACTGTTTGCAGGGAAGTATTTGAAAAATAAGCATGGTTCTGTTTAGCCATGTTGTATTTAGTTATTTATTTGAAGTAAGCAGTTTCATCCAGCTATGGATATTAGACCAGTTAGCAGGAGGACTTGTTAATATATTTTTGTTTTACTTTTTTGATCCAAGTCTTAGGAGTTGGGAGTTCGGTTCCAAAGGGAATGAATTTACGTATGCAGGACACGTTGTTCAAGGAGCTAATACTTACAGTAAACAGAGGTTGCTTAACTGTTGAGTAATGCTACAATAGTTATTTCCAATATTTTGCAAGAAACAATGTTCATGCAATGTTTTACCACTAGCAATTTGTTAGTGGTTTTAATTTAATGCCAAAAAAGTCTCTAAGGGCTGTAATTTCAAAAACATGGAGCATCACACGTTGGGGACTATACCCTCTGTCTACTTTTGTAAGGTAAGACATACATGAAAGAGACATTAATAGCACTTTAAAATCTAAATAATGTTAGAACTCCCTTGTGACATCACAAGTAGTAAATTATATCCATTGAAAGGTGATGCATGTGCATGCAACTTATGTTAGAGSTTAAAGTCTTTAAAAATGCTTAAAGAAACTCTTTCTGCATTGAATTACATCAGGAAGGCAGATAGAGTCTGACATGCCCTTATTTGTCTTCTGTTTTGGAGCAGTGATGTGTTTTACATTATAGTCAGCTCAAACCTAGCAGTACTACAAGCCTATGTGTAATTCTTTGTACAGTGTATTACATCTAATGCGATTAATACTTGAATATAAAAAGTTTCAAAATTACTGAAAATAAATTACCTGTAAAATGTCCCTGGATCTCTCTCACTCCAGATCCTATAAACATTCGTAATACTGCTCTACTTACTGTATTTCACTGTAGCTTTACAGTATGACAAGATGTTTTCCTTTACACTGGAAATAGGAGGCAATTTCCTAGTGGAGGTCAGCTTTAGCAAACATTCTTATTAAAGCAATTCTCATCAAGTTCTTCTATATGAGATAGAAGCAAGTTCTTACTTGAAAAAGGGAGAACCAAAGGATGAAAGCCTTTCAAATGTCTTACTCTTGATAAGTGGCAGAGAGAAGCAAAACGTTTTTTTCTCCTATGCTTTGCATTSTCTACTGCTGTGACTTTTATGTAGGTATGCATGCCTCTATAGGTATACATATATTTAGATATCTCTGTTGAATAAAGACACAGTCCTGAGCTAGATTTGATTAGAATCTACTTTTTGCTAATTAGACATTTGAGTCCAAAATACCTGAGACTAAGCATGAATATTTTTTCAGGCAAACTMGGACTTCCCCAGCATTTCTCCCGCCAGTTTAATAACAGTTTCTTTGCTGATGCAATCCTATCATTATCACCTTCTTTAAAAACAGCAACATGAGATCCTCTCGGCCTGAAGAAGTAAATTCATGTGTATTTTTTTAAATGTGATATAATACTGTGCATACCTACATATATACACTTTTTTTTCATCACARACGTATCTACATTGCATTAACTGTCATGGGTTTTCATTCAGTTCCAAGCTGATTGGTCTTTGGCTGCTTCATTTTGTTAAAATCTGAATAAAACTTAAGTTGGCCCTTGGGAAGCTTGGCTTCAATGAGGACTTAGAATTTAAGATATGAGGCATATTAGAATTTAAGATATGAGGCATATCAACTGATTATTATTTCCATCAAGCTTCCTCCCAATTAGCATCCACTTGTGAAATGGATTCTTCCATTCACATGGATAAAAGATAAAAGTTTCTTCATAATTTCCTTTCTCTSTTCTCTAACCATTATATATATATGTTTTTTTTTTATAACTAAGAGCAGAACATGGATCAGAGAGTCTGTGTGGCTACACATTTTCTTTAATGCAGAAAACCCAGAAAATATTTAGGAGTTCATGCTAATGTCATGCTCTACATCCTGCTTTGCAGATAAAATTTTCCTTTAAAGTACTYAATACTCCATGTCTCACATTCTTTGGTGAAGCATCCACAGGGGAAGGCTGGCTTTCCATTCAGATGCTGACATTCACATAGTGGTACATGCAAAAATATCCATAATGGTTTGTCAGACTCCTCACAAAATTTTTGATGGGATGCTAACTTGTTAGCTTAAAGGCAAAGTGTGCAGCCATATCTTGTAACATGGAGARAGAGCACAATCCTAATACAATCATAGGAAAAACTGTGATTTTAGCAAAAGAGGCAGGTTAATTGTGATGGAGCTGCTGGCAAAGACTCTGCTTTGGGGTGGAACAGTGAGCACTGAGTTATCTGACAGTTAAATGACTGTGAGAAGGAGATGAAGATATTCCGAGCAGGACAGATTCCAGTGACCCAAATGCACATCAGGGGTGCGAGTGCTTGGGAAGATATCTGCAGCAGCAGAAGACATGATGTAATCACAGATGCAAAATGAAATATCTGTTCTTTATTGTGAAAAATGGTCAAACATCTTTTCTTTGGTATTGTTAAAAGAGCTCAAATAGAAAGCAAAGGAAGATACAAAATAAAAGAGCAGAAATTAAAAAYACAAATTGATGAAGAGGAGCTAATGAGCTGGATTGAGAAATGGAAATGGTGATAGAGAAGTGCAAATAATACTTCTGTAGAAATTATATATGAAAATGAAGGGAGTGAAATGAGAAAGCTGAATGTAATTCAGCTGTGGAACTGAATAGCATAAAATTAAAAATATAGGAAACATCATGGAGGTAGCAGATAAAAGAAAGGTTGTGTTAGGGCAGCATGTCATTGGGGAAATGATTTTCACACTGATTTCTTATTTTCTCCAGTGTGTTTCACTGCTTATTGCCTTTCAGAACTGATAACTTTCTGATAATTGGATGTCAGAATATTTTGTTCCATGAAGGAAAAATTTGCTGATGGGATTTCATAGATTTTTTTTGTGTGCCATTACTTGTCCTTAACCATGTGTTCTTCCTACTGCCCTTTAGCCCTGGTGTAATGCTGGTTTATACAGCTCCTCCTAAAGAAACACTCAACATGAGCAAGCCATAAAAGTATTCTACAGAGTTTGCCAACACTTGAGGGCAGGAACACTCAGACTTTGTTAAGTACTTTGGTTCTAATTTAGGACAAACTAGAACATACCTCATCTCCACAGTGTCATTTTCTTCAGAAAAGAACATTGGTTTCATATATGGAACAAAAGGATGATCGTTAACACCCATCTGTGGGCCTCTTTAATAAACAGAAGCGTGAGATAACACAAAGAGCTTTCACACAGCTTTACACTGAAGGGAAGTTTGCATTGCTCAGAGATTGTTTGGAAACAAGAAAGTAGAAATCCTTAACTATTAGCCAACTACAGCCTTAACCAACTAAAAATCAGTCCACACATCAGCAGATATGAATGTGTCCATTGATGCTGCATTACTAGAATCCCTGAACAGTAGCAATAAAATGTCCATATTTGCATATCTGAACACTTGTGAAGAACTCCTTCCTTTAGAGGAGTAGAAGTACATTTGACGTAAACAGTGAAGCCTTCTCAATATCCACTTGACACACACATATTTTTCTGTGAGTGAACATTACTTGGACCAGTACAGCTGTGAAATACACAGAGAAAAATTGGTCAAGAAAATGAAAAATTTACCAAGCAGAAATAAAATATTTGGAGCCTGAATTATCAAAAATTCTTATCTTCCATGTGAGGGGATGCTAGAAAATATTATTTTGGATTTAGTTGTGTAGGAGTTGGTTAAAATTCAAATTTGGATATTGAAGATACATATAAACAGTCTATCATATGATAAAAAAATTTACTTGATATATGGACCATTATTAGTGAAATTACTTTAAAAAGAGCTGGTCCCCCTGTTTTCCTGGGTTGTCCATAAGGTTAAAAAAAAGTCCAAAATTGCTTCGTTTTGCTGATGAAAATAGATGACCTTCCTATTTCTTTTCCTGAAGGTGAGTGTATATGTAAGAGATAAGCTAGAATGTCAGCTAGCAATATGTCAGCTATGGCATGGTGGTTGTTCATATCCTGGCTGTTGCCAAGCAGAAAGTGCAAACTGAATGGAAAGTCACTTCTCCTTGATGAAAGG